GAAATAAAATAAAATAATACTATTTAAAAAGGGATTTGGAGAAGGTGAGTCCCCCTCCAAGAGATGGGATGTGAATGATCTTGCTCACCCCTGATTCCCAACACCTTCTGATAGCTATTAAACTGAGTCACCTGGCTCACACAACCAGTAAATCTCAGACTTGTGATTCAGACCTGAGAGACTGGCTCTAGAGCCTGCCCCTGTCCTGCTTCATGGGGCAGACTATTTCTGGAGGTTCTTCAACACCAGGAGAGGTGCCTCCCCTCCCCAGGCTCACCCCAGGATTGTCCATTACTGAGGGGAGGGGGGCTGGGCCATGGCTGGCTGTGTCTACTTTGTTCAGTCTTTGTTCTGGGTCTCCACAGCAGTCCTCTTCCCCCAGAGAGGATCCCAGATCCATTCGTGGGCAGCCAACCTGTCTTTTCTTTCCATCTGTAAAAGATGGTTGATTACCGTGGAAACCCTCCCTTGGATGTCGACCACCAGCTAAGGGAAAGACAGTCCTACCATTTGATTCCCTTCTTTGCTGGCCCTGTTAGGATCCGATGAGATGGGGGGGTGGGTGTATGTACATGGACAACATCTCTTGAAGGCTCCCAAGTAATGGTTGCCATAAGAGAACCCAGTGTTTGAAGACAGACCTTGCTTTTTTTGTCATATATTCTTTTGTTTCCTTTGAGTTTTGTATCAAATAAGCTCTTTAGTGAATAATGAGAAATAAAGTACAAAGGTAGGTAAACTGTTAAAGGATTAGGATAAAATGAAAAAAAGAACTGGACACAATGTCGACACGAGATGTATGGTGGCTTAAAAACTACTTTTTAAGTCGGGCTCTGCGCTTAGTCCGGAGTCTGCTTAGGACTCTTTCTCCCTCTCTCTGCCCCTCTGCCCTGCTTGCTCACTTTCTCTCTAAAAATAAATAAATCTTTTTAAAAATTACTTTTAAAATAAAAGTCATGTCCCTACATGCTAAAAAAAGAAATATGAGCAATAAATGCACGGGAGGCACACTGTCTTATTTTCTATTCTACCCTGTAGGCTTATATAATTCCATCATTACTTTTTTGAAAGGAAACATGAGGGTCCCAGTTTCAGGTAAGATAGGGTCAGTACCTCTGTTCTGTCTCTCCCACTAAAGAATTTCAATAAATCAGCAACCTGCATAGCAGTAGGAGCTAATCTAAGTACTTTAATCATGGACAGCTAGCACCCTTTTGGCGATCTCTAGGACGGGACAAGGCAGTAGGGTCAGGAGCCTCCCGTCAACTATTTACCAGCTTTCACAGAAGCATCTCAATAGATTAATAACCTGTACAGAAATCATGCTGCTACTACGTATATTTGCTCATCAAGGCTCTGCTCAAATGTCACCTTCTCAGAGAGATCCTCCCTGACTCCAAAGCCAAAGCAGCCTCCCCTCACTCTCCCCCTCATTACCTCTGATCGCACTCAGAAATTAGCACTAGTGGACCCATAAGACAAGGAGCCTTGGTTTGCTCACTGCTGAACTCCCAGCTCCTAGAACGTGTCTGGCACAGAGGAGGTGCTCAGATATTTCTCGAAGGAATGACTCCCAGCTCACCCTGAAGCCTCTGTCCCTTGAGGTCCCTGCTTATCAGCGGATGCAGTAAATCAAAGTACTTTCCTGTATTAGGCATCCACTTTCTTATTTCTTAGATGGCCTCTCTCCCACCGCTAAGGAGGAAAGAAGAAGAAAAAAAAAAAAAAACTCAGGCTCCTTCTTGACCCAAGTATCTCCTCCCCCTTTCCACACACCTCTGCTCACACCAACTTCCCTGTGTGACATTAAATTCGGCAGTGAAAAAATGCCACCTTCGCACCTGCCTCTCCTTCTCCTCCACTTCTTTCCCACCTCTCACCCTCTCTGTGAAGCAGGTGATCACCCTTAAGTAAACATCCCATCCCCATAGGCAGTTCTTTAAAGAAACTTGGGCAAAAGGAAGATTCTTCTTATGAATGTCCATGCTTTGGGAAATATTTACAGGGCAAGTGAGTATCCATGATGAAGGAAATGGAAAATCCATTGACCGCCTCCTCTCCCCGGAGTGGTGGTGCTGGGGGGGTGGGTGGTAGATGGATGGTACATGGATGGATATAATCCCCTCCCAATATTTCTCCCTGGTCTTGAGAGACCAATAAACACTAGGGAGACTTGTTCCGATAATAGGCATGGAGCGGGGTTGCACTTAAACCTTACATCAACCTTAGGAGGTGATAATAAAATTATTATAATGATAATGTGACCACACGGAAGAGAGCCTATGTGCCAAGACCTGCTCTAAATGCTTCGCCGTACGACTCCATTTGTCCTTCACAACAACACTGTAAGGTAGATACTATCCCTTATCCCCAGTGTACAGATGAAGAAACTAAGCTGTAAAGAAATTAAGTCACTTTCCCTAGGTTCCTTAACAAGGGAGTGGCAAGCCCAGAATCTGAATGCAGCAGTGCACTGCCTGAAAGCTCTCACCTGGGCCCACCAGAGGCGCCTCGATGGGCAGAACCTAGTCACAAGGCCACACTTAGCTGCAAGGGAGTCTGGGAAATGCAGCTAAAACTTAGGGGTTCTAACACTGTGGAAGAACTTGAAACAAGATACTGGTGGACAATGAGCAGTCTTCACCGCCACCCCCCCCCACACACACTTTGACCTTCTCACACTTTGACCTTCTTCCATGTAGTTAAGATCCCAAAATTCGGGAGCTCATGGCCACAGCCCATGATGGGCAGGGCAGTAATTAAGACAGGCATTCTTACACATTGGCAGTGAGAGTGCGAACAGGGAAATTACTTTGGGAAGATACACCAGTTAGCTATTTCAAACTGGCACCTCCTCTAGGTAGATAGGGTCTCCAACACCCAGCTAGTGTCAGAGAATTGCTTGGTGGTGTGGGGGGAAAAAAACCCACAGAATCAGAAGATCTAACTTGCAAAATCCTACGGCATCGTTTCTGCCACATTCTATTGGTCAAAGCAAGCCACACAGACAGCACAGATTCAAGGACTGGGAAAACAGAGTCTGGCTCTTGATAGCAGGTGCTGCAAAAAAAGAAAAGAAAAGAAAAAAAGTGCCATTTTTAATATCCAAAACGAGAAAAATTTAAAAGGAAAAGGGAAAGGCAGCCAAGGGGCAGAGAAGAGAAAGAACAATGAAAAACAAAACAAAACAGAACAAACAAACAAACACCAGTTCCTGGGAAGAGGTATTGTAGGACCACTCGGGTGCCCGTGGGGCGGTAGGCAGAGCCTCCAGGGCAGGTGAGTTCGGCTCTGCCCATCGGTTCTCCGCAAATTCCAGGATTTTCTAGCTTAGATCCAAGTAGAGACAAAAACACAACCACATGCTACCCGCATCTTGCTGACCCTGTCCTGTGGCCTTTCCCAAATTCATTACACCTAAGCCTCCTCCTCCTGCAGTTAAAGGACATTATATGGTGTCCAGAGTCTCTCAGGGGGCCTGGCACATAGCACGCGCCCCATCAGTGACAGCAGCAAAGTCATCCAGGTATACGGCAAGAGGCGCACCTGAGAGACACGCGGTAAGGATGCAGTGGTTAACCCCCGCCAAGTGCTTGGAACAGTCCCTGGCATTTAATGAACAGCCGGGAGTGCGGTCTTGCTGTTGGTGGTGTCGTTGCTGTGGGGTTTCATCTAGCGGGTCCTCGTAGAGCTCCCCTCTGAGAACGCCGCGGGCACGGACTCGTGTAACTCACTGAGCAACCCTGCGGGGTAGGTTCCCTTACTCGTAACTCCTTACCGGTGAGAAAACCGCGGCTGCGAGGTCCAACGAGTCCTGGCCGGGATCCGAACCCAGGCGCACCCGGGGCCGGAGATCCTGCTCCCACCCAGGTCTAACCCATCACCTCCTCGTTCTTTTCAGGATTGTTGACCCTGTTTCCCTTCCTTCCCTTCTTCATTCCCTCATCTTCCTCTTACCCCTCCCCCTCGGCTCCCCACCCCGCCCACCTCCTCCGCTCCCGGAGCTCCTCGCCAGCCCCCCTTCCCGCGGCCCTTCCAGCGCCTCCTTCCTCCCCCTTGCCCCCTCCGCTCCTCCTCCCTCTCACCCCACCTCCCCCCCCTGCTTTCCTACAGCTGTCCTGTCCTGTCCTTTCCTGCCGCCCCCTCCTTCCGCATCCGTCGTCTTCCCTACGCTCCCTTCCCTCCTCTCCTCCTTCCCTCCATCCTACGTCGCTTTCCTCCCGCTTCCACCTCTCTTCACTTTCCCCTCCTTTCTGCACCGCCCCTCCTCTCCTCCCCACAAGCCCCTCCCCGGCTGCCTTCTCCACGCCCCCTCCAGGCCCCGCCCCACCTCCCCTCCCTATCCTCCCCTGCTGCCCTCCAAGCCCCTCCCTCCCCTCCTCCCTGTTCCCTCCGAGCCCCTCCCTTTCCTCCTCCCTCCTCCTTCCAAGCCCTTCCCCTACCTCCTCCCCACTCCTCCACCCAAGCCCCTCCCTGCCTCCTCCCCCTTTCCTCCTCCCTCCTCCCCTTTCTCAAAGCTCCTCCCCTCTCTGCCTCCCTCCAAACTCCCGTTTCTCCCCCTCCTCCATCCAAGCCCTTCCTCGCCTCCGCTCCCTGTCCTCCTCCCTCCTGCCCTCCTCCCTCCTCCAAGCCCCCCCCCATTCCCTCCCTATCCTCCTCCCTTCTACCCTCCTTCCTCCAAGCCCTTCCCCTCCAGTTCACCCCTCTCCTCCCTCCAAGCTCCTCCCCTATTCCCATCCCCTTCTCTTCCCTCCTCCTCCCCTCGGTCTCCTCCCACGCTGAGGCTTCTGGGAGCGCGGAGGGGGGCGCGGTCCCTCGCGGTGCAGGGGCGGAGCGGGAGCCGCGAGGCGCGCAGGCGCAGACCGTGTGCTCGCCGGGACCGACCGCGGCCCGAGCCCAGCCGCCGCCCCGTGGCCGCCGGTGAGTCCGCGCCGCCCGCCGGGTTCACTAGTCCGCCAGGTTTTCGTCGTGGGGAGGATCACGCACCCCGGATCGCGGGAGGGGCCCGGAAGGGGCTCTGAATCCCGCCCCTCCGTGCCTCAGTTTCCCCGCCGGACAGTGGGTGTGGACAGCACCTGTGCCGGGGAGGTGCGCGGAGCTCCATCCGTCGGAGCCGCTCTCGTTGTTGCTGTTGTTGAGGTATAGTAACGGCAGCGCTGCCGCCAGCAGTTTCGGAGCGTCCACTTGCTCCGGAGCGTGCGTCCCCCTCCCACGGTGCCGGCGCCGCCCGGAGCTCATCGGAGGGTTCTGGGGGGCCGGGGGCTTCTGGAACTCCCGGGCGATGCTCATGTGGACGCCTGCGGAAACCGGAGAGACACCGTGTTATCTCCTTGAACCCCACAGGAGCCCAGTGCCGTTCGCACTAGGATTCCCCCCCATTTGCAGATGTGGAAACTGAGGCGCAAAAATGAAACGCCTCCTCGCCCCCACAACGGTGGGAGAATTAGTGCAACTTAATAACCACACTTAGGAACTTCACAACAACCCTACAGAGTAGGGGTCTTAGGTCCCTCACCTTCCAGATGACCAAACAAGTTAAGTGACCCGCCCAGGCACACAGCTAGGGAGCGGCAGGCAGCGAGTCCAGCCCAGGCAGCCTGGGCCCGGGGTCTGCGCTGTGTCAGGACAGTGATCTCCGACATGGGGTGTGCCAGGCCGTGCAGCGGGGTGAAGCCAGACAGGGGGAGAGCTTGCGTTCGTAGGTCGTTTCACGAAGGACAGCAATTCAACTTTAATTCTAAGACGCATTTTTCACATTTCCCTCCCATTTTAACATCTCCGAAAATAGGATGTGTAGGATGTGTCTTACCACTGATGGTATGTTGTGGTTTAATTGCAGACTTTTTCCCCCTTAGGTAAAGTCTTGCCTGTTTTCAGTGTATGGTCTGTTGGAGTCATTGAAATATGGTATTTAGTGGCATACACATATATACGGTATTGGGGTAGTTTTGTGTATTAGGTATTTACGGTATTTAATGTGCGTGTACATATACACCTATAAATGTAAATACAGTATTTAGTATATGTACATATATACACCTTATTTGTAAGTATCTATGGTAGTGTTTATACACCTTATATACATGTTTATGTGGTAAACCGTTTACATGCCCATGCATATGGTATTCAGAACAATGATATATGTATAATCAGTTTACATATGTCCTACACACGTGTATATGCAGTGTTTAGTGTGCGTGATTCCATGCCATATACGGGTATATACGGTACTTGGTACCACAGCACACAGATAAAAAGGTCACGTATATATAGGTATATGTGGTATTTAGTGTGTGATTGGACCACATACAATGTATATGTGATACTTAGTACCCATACCTCTTATATACAGGTCATGTATATCAGTGCATATATATGTTATATATGCGTACATATGGCATTTACTGTGTGATTATGTCTCACAGACACATATGGTAATATGGTCTTTAGAGTATGTGTGTATCTGATATACTTGTAAGTATGGTATATATATATGTATATATATATAATGTGTGTATGTGTGTACCTTATACACCTGTATATTTTGGTATTTAGTACTATGCATAGAGAGTACATATTTTATATATATAGTCTCTATTTTGTATCATAATATACCATGTTTTGTACTGTTGTACTTGTATATCATTTAGAAATAAACACCCAGGGGCACCTGGGTGGCTCAGTCGGTTAAGTACGTGCCTTTGGCTCAGATCATGATCTCAGGGTCCTGGGATGGAGCCCTGTGTCGTGCTCCCTGCCCAGCGGGGAGTCTGCCTCTCCCTCTGCCCCTCCCCCCACCACTCTTTCTTTCGCTCTCTCTCTCAAATAAATAAATAAAATCTTAAGAAAGAAAGAAAGAAAGAAAGGAAGGAAGGAAGGAAAGGAAGGAAGGAAGGAAGGAAAGAAGGAAAGAAAAGAAAGAAAGAAAGAAAAAGAAAGGAAGAAAGGAAGGAAGGAAGGAAGGAAGGAAGGAAGAAAGAAGAAAGAAAGAAAGAAAGAGAAAGAAAAAGAAAGAAAGAAAGAAAGAAGTAAACACCCAGAGGTTGCTGCTGGGCTCCGTTTTCTATTTTTACAGATTGGGATTTGGGATCACAAGAGTTTGAAGGGGAAGCTGGAGCCATGTCAGGGTCCCTGGTGAGGAAGAGGACCAGTTAAAAATGCAGATTCTGAGACCCTGTGGCCCCAGATGACCTAAAAGACCCTTGTCTCCTCCACTTTTGTATATTCAGAGTTTCTTCTAATTTAAGGCCCATTGTTGCTGTGGAAAATCAGTTTGGTGGTTCCTTGAAAAGTTGAACACAGAATTCCCCCATGACCCAGCAATTCCACTCGGGTATACACCCCAGAGAATTGAAAACAGGGATTCAGATAATAAACACTTGACCATGAATATTCACAGCGGCAATACTCACAATGGCCAAAAGGGGGAAACAACCCAAACGTCCATGAGCAGATGAACGGATCGCAACAGTCTGTTCACACAGTGGAATATTATACGGCCGTGAGAAGGAGTGAAGCCCCGATACACTCGATCACATAGGTGAACCCTGGAAACCTCACACTCAGTGAAAGAAGCCAGACAGAGCCATGCAGTGTAGGATTCCGTTTATAGGAAATTTCTGGAGCAGGCAAATCCATGCAGACAGAAAGCAGACTGGTGGCTGCGAGGGGCTGGGGGAGGGAGGGCGTGGGGAGGGGCTGCTTCGGGGGTACAAGGTTTCCTTTTGGGGTGATGAAAGTGTTTTGGTTTGGAGCTAGACAGAACTGATGGTTGTACAACAGCGTGAATGTGCTACCAATGCCGATGAATTGTACACTTTAAATGGTAAAATGGTAAATTTTATGTTATGTGTATCTGACCATAATAAAATAGGGAAGCTTGCTGTAGACCAAATCCTATGCAGAGTCCTGGGATAAAGGCGAATAAAAGGAATCCCAGTTAAGGGGGGGATGTTATATATACAGATGGTGATAATTAAATAAAATTAAAACAGGGTGCCTGGCTCCCAGTAGAGCATGTGGCTCTTGATCTGAGGGTCGTGAGTTCAAGGCTCACGGTGGGTGTAGAGATGACTTAAAAAAAAAAAAATCTTTGGGGCGCCTGGGTGGCTCAGTCGTTAAGCCTCTGCCTTCGGCTCAGGTCATGATCCCAGGGTCCTGGGATCGAGCCCCACATCGGGCTCTCTGCTCGGCGGGGAGCCTGCTTCTCCCTCTCCTACTCTGCCTGCTTGTGTTCCCTCTCTCACTGTCTCTCTCTGTCAAATAAATAAATAAAATCTTTAAAAATAAAAAATAAATAAAAAAAATAAAATCTTTAAAAAAATTAAATGAAAACGTTTCTACATTCTTACCATATGGCACGTGCTACCTTAAGGGATTTGCTTATACTCACCTCTTGAAACCTCGTAAGGACCCTGTGTGGTGGGTACCTTATCCTCATTTTCCAGATGACAAAACTGAGGCAGGCAGAGGTTAAGTCACTTGCCCAAAGGTACACAGCGGGTAAGTGGCAGAGCTGGGATCTGAACCCAGGTATCTGGCTCCTGTGGCCTCACCATCAATTCAGCCCAGGGTGACAAGTGTCAAAGGAGACTTGTGAACAAGGTCTGGGTCAGCACGGAGGAAAGAGCCCCATGAGCTGGGTCAGGGAGGGTGGGGATGTGTAGGCAGCGCGGGCCTGGGTCTGATCCTGCCTGGGAGACATGTCTCCACTGCCCATTTCCACCACACCGCGGGTGTCTGCCTGGTGTGAGCCCCTGTGCTGTCTCTGGGTGTTCCTGTGGATGAGAAAAGGGGGACGGGGGTGTGTGCATGTAGAGCAGAGCTAGGCCTAGTTCCTCACTGTCTCCCTCTCTCTCGCTCCCTCCACCTCACCCCAGCAGCCCCCAGACTCAGCCACCAGTCCCCCATCACCGTGGGCAGTGAAGGGATGGCCGCCCAGCTGCTGGCTGACGAGGCCCTGGTGAGTACTGTCATCCCCTCGCCCTCCTTCTCATGGGTGGACAGAGAGTCGAATGAGCCCCTGACCGCCTGAGTCCCCTCCAGGGCCCGTCTCCCCAACACCTGGGGCAGGGCAGTCACAAGTATGATTTTATGTAGTCCTGTGTGTCTTCGTAAAGAATCATCAAACCCAGGGTCTCAGCCTCAAACTCCAGCCCTGTAATAATAATGGTCATCATAATCTCAGCTGATGTCTCTTGAGTACCTACTATGTGCCCTGCGCTGGGCTGGTGTGTAGGGGGTCCTCCTGGGGATGACCCACTGAAGCCAGCTCCCTGCCCCACCTTTCCCACGGGCCTGGGTGCACCAGATGAATTCGTGGTTGCAGGAGTTGGTGACCTTCAAAGACGTGGCCGTGGACTTCACCCAGGAGGAGTGGCAACAGCGGGAGCCGGCTCAGAGGGACCTCTACAGAGATGTGATGCTGGAGACCTTGCAGAACCTGAGCTCACTAGGTAAGACCAACCATTCTGGGAGGGCCCTCTTTGCGGGTTCACGGCCAGTGACTTCTTGTGTCCTCGCAGGGAGGCAGGCTGGAGGAACTCTCTGGGGCCCCTTTTAGGAGGGCACTAAGACCATTTATGAGGGCTCCACCCTCCTGACCTACTCACCTCCTCAAGGCCCCACCTTCTAACATTACCACCTGGGGTTGAGGATTTCAGCATATGAATGGGGGGAGGGAACACTGCACCCGCGCATCAGGCCTTATTCTAGAACCGTTGGGAAGTGCTTGAGGGGGCTTCTCTTGGCTTTCCTAGCTCCCAGCCCTCACCTCTCCTCGCTCTGGGAGCAGGCTACGTGGGTGACATTCGTGGTTTGGGTCTCTTTCAGATTTGGAATCCAGGCCTGACAGGGACGGCCCACAGGAAGCCCTGCCTGCAGGAGCGTCCCCGGGCTGGCCCTGGAAGAGCTGGGAGGGAGCCGCCTCTGGCGCTCCGGGGCGGGAGAGGCCCAGGGGCCTCCAGGAGGGGCCCCTGCAGAGCATCAGCCCAGAGCCGCCCAGCCAGGAACTCCAGAAGGGAGGGGCCCCCACGGTTGTGCCCCGCGGAACCCCGCCTGGGAGGGCCCCCGGGGAGCCCCTGGCGGCGAGGAGCCCTGCGTGCGCAGGGAGGGCGGGGAGGCCTTTGCGCAGCGGGCCCAGCTGGCGCAGCATCAGCGCGCGCACGCCCTGGACAAGCCCTTCGCGGGCGGCGAGTGCGGCAAGCGCTTCACCAAGCGCTCGTCCCTGCCCGGGCACCAGCGGGCCCCCGCGGGCGCCAGGCCCCACCAGTGCCGCGTGTGCGGGAAGGCCTTCCGCAAGACATCCGACCCGCTCACCCACCCCCGCACACACACGGGCGAGCGGCCTCTCAAGTGCAGCGAGTGCGGCAAGGCGATCGCGCAGAGCATGACGCTGGCGGAGCCCCGGAAGACGCGCACCGGCGAAAAGGCGTACCCGCGCCCGCAGTGCGGGAAGCGCTTCACCAAGTCGTCCGCGCTCATCCTGCGCGAGAGGATCCACACCCGCGCGAGGCCCTTCCGCGGCGCCGCCTGCGGCAAGGCCTTCAGCCGGAAGGCGCACCTCTCCATCCACCGGAGGATCCGCACCGGCGAGAAGCCCTACCGCTGCGGCGAGTGCGGGCGCAGCTCCCGGAAGATGTCCTTCCTGTCCCAGCACCAGGCCATCCACAGCGACGAGAGGCCCTTCCGGTGCGGCGTGTGCGGCAGGGCCTTCGTGCGCAAGTCCACCCTGGTCCGGGACGGCAGGATCCACACGGGAGAGAAGCCCTATCGGCGCGCGCAGTGCGGGAAGGCCTTCCGGCACCAGCCCTCGCTGACGGCGCACCGCAGAATTCACACCCGGGAGAAGCCCTACGAGTGCCAGGCGTGCCAGGCGTGCGGCAAGGCCTTCAGGCGCATCGGGAATCTCACCTGCCACCAGAAGACCCACCTGGCCGGGGAGGCGGCCCCGCGCGGGCCCAGCTCAGGCAGCAGGCCTTCCTCCCAGCTAACCAACAACTGAGCCTCGTGTGATGGGCCTGATGGCCAAGTTTCAGCCTTCTTTCTCTTTAGGCTTAACTTAGGGACCTCAAGAGATGCCCATAAGGCTGGTGCCACATTCCTGAGCATCTGGGAAAGACAGGTGACAGCAGGGCCTGCTTCATACAGGGCGTGCGTCGGCTTCATGCTCTGCTGTCACCGTGGTGAATTTGCCAGTCCCAGCGAGGAGATCAGACCAGGGGTTGAGAAGCCACAGCCCACAGAGCTGGACATGCTTTCGCACGGCCCGCAAGGCAAGAATGGTTTTTACCTTTTGGAAGGGTTGTAAAATGAAATGAAAAGAGTCTGAGAAGAGAGCTCCTATGACCCGCAAAGGGTAAAATATTTTCCATCTAGGCCTTCACACACAGTTTGCCAAGAGTAATCTGTGGGAATTCTGGACTCTCTTTCACCATCTAGGGCAAGTCCCTGCTTGGTCGCAGGGTCTCCCTCCCTGGTCCCTTCTGGGTGGGGGGCTCCACATCAGGTGGCGGGATGCTGAGATGGGATGGCTCCATTCTTTCATCTCAAGGCTTCCTGTGGGCCGGACCAGCCACTGTCCTTGGTGCTGAATCCTACCAGCTGCCCGTGTACCTGGTACTTAGTCCAGAATAGAATAAATATGATTCTCTGTTCAGTGGCTGCGTGTTTGCAGCAGGATCTGGGTGTCTCGGGCAAGGGAAGTTTGCCCAGCGGGAGCTTTTTGTAGCTCTATTCATTGCATCGGTTTGCTCCCACTACCATAGCAAAGCACCACAGACCGGGGGGCTTAAACAACAGAAATCTATTTTCCCACGGTTCCAGAGGCTGGAATTCTGACATTGAGGTGTCCTCAGGGTTGGTTTTTCCTGTGGCTACTCTCCTGGGCTTGCATATGGCAGCCCTGTGTGAGGCCCTGGTGTCTCTCTCTCCTTCCAAAGACACCAGCCATAGGATTAGGGCCCACCCAAATGACCTCATTTAACCACAATGATCCCTTTAAAGCCCTGTCTCCAAATACAGTCACATTTTGAAGTGACTGGGTATTGGGATTTCAACATCTAAATCTGGGGGGACATGTTCAATCTATGACATCCCCAAATGGCTAAAAGTTTGACCTTTCGTAACTGTAGCTGACGTCTACATGGTATGCGCAAGCATTACCTGAGCACCCCCTGTGCTTTGTGTGGGTGGCGGGGAGGGCCAGCAACCCTTACTTCACAGTGTGGAGTTGGTCCGGGAACACAGCTGTCCTGTCAGAGACTGCATTTCCCACTGGCATCCACGGCGGGGGGACACGGACTACCCCTCACCTGTAGAAAGTGAGAGAGGGGTGTGTTCAGAAATGGCTGAGTCTTTGCCACTTGCCCTTCCCCTACCTGTCCTCTGGATCCCCACTCACGGGCATCTCCAGGAGCAGTGGTGCAAGAGCGTGGAGGGAGCCCCCAGGAAGCCCATCCTCCTCCTAACTGGCTGTGAGGAGTAAGGTCCCAGGCCTTTGGGGTTGTTTGCTGCATTTAGTGCATGCTGCCCCAGGTCCGTGACCTCAGCCATCACCTCCACCCTCATGGGAGGTCAGGTACCATCTCTGTTTAACAGACAAGGAGGGACCAAAGGAGCTCAGCAATCACTACCCAGTAAGTGTGGGGGCCAGCAGCAGTATCCGGGATCCGCTGACCCCGCAGCAAACCTCATCACGCTGCCAACCACATGACCCAGGCCACAGGCCACGGGGTCCCGTGTGGTTCTTCCCCCACACATAGGTTGTCCGTGTTCTGGCCCAAAGAGCATTTCTTAAATAAATATGGAAGTTGGGTACCATTTAAAAAACAAACGTTGCACAAAGAAAGTCTGTCTTTTCAGCTCCCTGATGTCAAGCAAAGTATTAGTCCCCCGAGCCTCCGTTTCCTCCTTTGGAAAAGTGGGATAATAATAGCAGTCTGGATACTAGTTATTTCCTAATAAATATTTTATTATTGATAATAATAGAGCATAATTATATTTATATTATATATTATATTTATTGTTTATAATTTATTATTGACAAAATAGAGCATAATTATTATCAATAATAAAATACTAAAATATTAAGGTTGTGGGTGAGGTTTGTACTGGATAATGCGCCTGCTTGACTCAGAGTACCTTATGTTCACAGGCATCCCATCCAGGGTGTTGGGGTTCACGGCAGGGTTGGGTGGGAGCAGTGATTAGTCTGTGATGTGAGAAAGGATCGTTCTTCTGTAATTCCAAAGATTCCAAGACATTCCTGCTTTGCCTGGAAGCCTCGCCACTGCCTCGCTGGGTTTCTGCAGGACCAGCCTCCTTCTCCCCAATCTCTGAGCTCCCGGTGTGACCACTCCCAGGCCAGGAACCGGGGCTGTGAGGGGGATCTGGCTGATCCAGGAGACCCCTTCCTCATATTCTGGGGCAGGTGTGTGGGGTCCCTGAGGTCCCGGTGGGGTCCCCAACAGTGGGGCAGTGTCTAGGCAGGTAGAGCAGAAGGGCCACCTCCCTCTGGCCACATCGTCCGCATGCTGCTGCTTGGCCAGAGGCCCCAGAGGTCTGCGGGGAGCCTTGTCCAGCCCCTGCTGAGGCTGAGCGAGGGAGACTGGCTCTGGCTAGGTCAATGATGTAGTCACCATGCCTTTTATTTTCTGCCGCTTTGACCTCTTGGGGCCTCCTGGCACTGGAGAGACCGCCCCTCCCAGAGCTAGCTAATTCCTAGAGACAGGAAACAACTCATCTGTAAATATGCTTTTCAAATGCCAAACAACCCATCCAGAGCGCCCACACCCCAACAACCTACTCTATTAGGTTCTGTTGGGCTGTCCTCAGCCCCCCAACCCCCCAGGGCAGGTACCAAACAACTGGCAGCCCCCATGTGCCCCGCGGCCCACTGAGAGGATTCAAACCCACAGATCCTCAACCCGCTCACCCTGCCTCCCCCGGGGACGAAGGGACACAAGCCGCAGCCAGGTCTCCAGGAACTGTGTTAGGTCTGGAGTGGAATGGCCTGGGGCCTGGGAAGACTCACTTGCTTATTCATAATCCAGCTGGCTAGCATTTATTGAGCGCTATCCTTGACCCATTCATTCAGCATTTACCGAGTGCCTACTGTGTGTACCAGGCACTGTTACAAGTCCTGGGGAAACAACAGTGAGCAAAATTGAGCAGATCCACAGCTCTGCCCTCACTCTAGTGAAGAAGACAGATGCCAAGAGAGGGGGCCCTCCCGGTATGTGGATGTGTTCACCAAGGGGAAGCTCTCTGAATGCTGTGCTTTCCGGATTTTGTGGAGGCTTCCTCACCTGGGCAGGGCCAATCACTAACTCCATTTCCAGCCTCTCTCCCCTTGCTAGAGAAGGGGTGGGTGGGGGACTGAAAATCCCAGCTTCTAATCATGGCTTTGTGTCTCCAGGGGCCCACCCAGAGTCACCTCATCAGAAGAAAAGACACAGTATCAGCAAGGAAATTCCAAGAGACTCAGGAGCTCCGTGCGAGGAACAAATGTATACAGAATGTTCCTATTACCTCTCAAGGGGACACAAACCATTCAGTCCACAGCACTGTTTTCCGTGGTGTACATACATCCTCTCAGTTATTCCCCACAACTAATGCACAAGGTGAGGACTGGTATTACCAGGAAACGGGCTCAGAGAGATTAAGAAACTTGCCCAGAGTCACACAGCAAGGGCAGAGTCTGGATTTGAACCCAGGCAGTCTGGCTTCAGGGCCTCCGTTCCTCCTGGCTCCATTATTCTGCCCCCTCGCCTTCACTTACGGAGTGAGGGCTTGCTTCTCATGGACGGTGACCGTAACAGCAGGTGCTCGCTTTGAGTATGGAGTCCTGTGTTCTGTTCTACATTCGTCCAAGTACGAACTCATTCTGATGACTCCAGGAAGTTATATAAAATGATGAAAATACAATTTGTCTTCCTCTCGGGCGTCTGGTGAAGGCTGTGTGAGGGGCTGGTAACCGTGGGGGCGGCCTGCATGGGGTCAGGGTGCAGGCTCTGCCAGGATGCAGCCCACACACCGCCCCCGGCGCCCTCACGTCCGGGCTGTGCGATCTACTCGAGCCTCTGAGCCTCCCTGAGCCTCGGCTTCCCCACCTGCGCACCGGATGACGTGGAGAGAACACCTGTGTCTGCGTCACGTCCTGGGCACGTGCGCGGTGCTCGACACACACTAACTATAGTGACAGGTGCTCCCGCCGCCCCCTTATGATAAGGATCGGTGGTGAACTTCGGATCCCCTCTTCTGGGCCCTTCGGGGGGATCTCACCCGCGTTGCTAAAGGTCCCCCGGCGTCTTCGGGCCTCTGTCAGATGTCCGCCCCTGAGCGGCCTTGCTGACCACCCAGCCTGAACGGGCCTCGCACCTCTGCTGGCTCTGCGGCTTTCCCGCCGCCATGCGCTCCCCCGCGGCCTAACCCCGTGTCTCAGGCTTCTCTAGCCTGTGCGCTGCTGCCTGGTGGCCCTAGAATGTCAGCTCCAGCATGCGGGGAGCTCACCCCTGCTCGGGGCTGCACCCCCATCCTCAGCTCCTTCAGGAACTGCGCCCAGGTGCGCGGGACCTGCTGTAGAACGAGTGCTGCTGGGGCCCGTCCCTGTCCCGGGCCTCAGTTTCCCCCCTCCCATCCCACTTTCAGGGACGAGGTGGCAATGAGTGAAATGGGAGCTGCCGCTCCTTGCCTCACCCCTCCGCTCCCTGCCCTGCACTGTTCCAGGAGAGCACAGGGCCGGGCATGGGAACACGGAGCAGGAAGAGGTGGACGGCCTCCCCCAACCAGCAGGGTAGGATGCCAGCAGAGCGTGGACCGAGGACGACGCAGGGGATACGACAGAAGGAAGCACAGGGGCGTGGAGACAACAGCTGCTGGTATGAGCCCCCAGAAGGGCCGGAGAGGCGACGAGCTTCCCCACGCCCCTCCTGACCACACACACACACAGTCACCACCACGTGAGGCTGCGTCTCTCAGCTCCTGGGGGCGCCCCTGGCTGACCCCCTGCTGCCCCTGCCCCTGCCCTGTGGCTGGGTTAAGGGAGTACAGACGATGACAGAGGGGACTGAGGGCCCTCCTGGTCACCATGGTACTGACGGCATTTCCCAAAGGAAGGGCCACATGCAGCAAGACCTCACGCTGATTAAAGCCGGGGCGGCCACGCCATTCTAAGCCCCGTCCACCCGCTGTGGCATGACGCCATGGGGCTGCCTTCTCTGTATCCTCCCTCTTCCCCTGGACTCTGGTCTGGACGGAATGACCCCCACGGCCACGGCAGGCACACAGCAGCTCGGGCCCTGGGCCACTGCCACGATTTCAGGGATGAGGGAGAGACCCAGATCTAGGCCCATGCGCACACGGAGTTTCTCTGGTCACGGCAATCTGTTCGTGGGTGAGCCCACAGAATGAAGCTTCGGGCCTTCGTGTCACTGTCAAGAGGTCTGCGTCCACCGGGACGTGTCTGAGACAATGTGCTGGAAACCACCAGGGAACCCTGAGGGAAGCCAGCCTGAGGACGAGGCCGGCCCAGGATGGGAAAGCCCGAGAACCAGAGCACCAGAGCTACGCTCCTGATGCCGCATGTGGAACAAAACTACCCTGATGCCCACCTGGCTGCCAGACATCCATCCGAAAAGCCATCGCCTCGATTATGCACTCTCGAGCAGCTGCTTTTCCTACTCACAACACGAAGTGCTTACTGATATAAACGATTTCTTAAATGAATTGTTTACTCCTTGTGGACACCGGTGTTGGAAACACCGGGACATTTGCGACAAGTAGGATCGAATGTTAGAACAGAAAGGGCGGCATCAGCGGCCCTGAGAAAGGAGACTCTGGGGGAGATCCCTGTGTAAACCAAATGTCAGGTCAGCCTTAGGAAACTCCCGTGGAGCTGCCTTCAAACTTAACTGCAAAAGTCACTATAAAAACGGACAGTGTGCGCTCAGATACGCAAACTTACTAAGCTAGGCAAGTACTTAACCCTGAGTATCAGGCCTGCTGGGGTTCGCCTGCCCTCCCCCTCTCCCACAGGCACCGAGGCGGATTTTGGGGACCACCGGTGCCTGGGTCTTTTGCACCTGACAACTATTTAAAATTACACCAGTCTCTCTTAATTAAAAGTTTTATTTTTATTTATTTATTTATTTATTTTTTTAAAGATTTTATTTTTTTTATTTATTCATGAGAGACAGAGAGAGACAGAGGCAGACGGAGAAGCAGGCTCCCTGCAGAGCAGGGAGCCCAATGTGGGACTCGATCCCAGGACCCTGGGATCATGACCTGAGCCGAAGGCAGACGCTTAACCGACTGAGCCACCCAGGCGTCCCTAAAAGTTTTATTTTTAAAAAATTTAACAGACTCTGAGAAACTTCGGCATCTGAAGTGCTTACTGTTGTTTGCTGATGCTGAAAACCACCTTTTCCGCCCGCTTACAACTTGCCAGCTTATCTGGCTCGGTGGCTTGGGGATGGACGGAGGGAGGGCCCCTCTGGCTTCCACCCCAGGAGGGAATTCGTGGAGGGTGAGACCTAACATCTGGACCAGATCTAGGGTCCAGAAATGTCCCCACGTTCACTTATCGAGTCCACCTCCGCCCCCAGCCCCCTCCTGCATTTTCCTACTGAGTGTCGCCCCAGAGACACTAAATAACCTTGTGCCACCTCTTACAGTTCATTCCCTCGGCCTGGAACCCTGATGCCCGGGCTCCTGGAGCTCCTGCGAGTTTCCAGCCACAGTGCCCCTGAGCATGGTCCCAAGTGCGTTAGACACGAGGGACTTGCTCTGCTGTGGATGTGCAGGTGCCCCGTAGGGAGGGGCCTGTCCACAAGTCCCCATCCGTAAGGCCCGTCCGGGGCGGGACTTCTCTAACCCCTGGTGCTACCCGTGGGCGACCCTGTCAGAACTTCTCGTGCTGCCGGCGGGTGTGAAGGATCCCACCCCTCCTGGTGTGGACTCGGAGGCCCCTGAAGGAAGGCCCCAGGACGAGGTGCCCCCCAGGCCGCCCCTAGGTGTGGATCCTCAGGTGGCGCGTGAGGTTGGTGTTCCGGCTGAAGGTTCTCCCACACTCGCTGCACTTGTACGGCTTCTCCCCCGTGTGGATTCTCTGGTGGACCGTGAGCGAAGAGTTCTTGATGAAGGCCTTGCCACACTGGCCACACTTGTAGGGCTTCTCCCCGGTGTGGATCCGCTGGTGCTCGATGAGGTACGCGCTCTGGCTGAAGGCCTTCCCGCACTCGCCGCAGGCGTACGGCTTCTCCCCGCTGTGGCCCATCTGGTGCACGATGAGGGACGAGCGCCCCGTGAAGTGCTTCTTGCAGATGTAGCACTCATAGGGCTTCTCCCCGGTGTGGATCCGCTGGTGCTGGGTGAGGGACGAGTTCTTGCTGAAGGCCTTCCCGCACGCGTTGCACTCGAAGGGCTTCACGCCGATGTGGAACCGCTGGTGCTGGATGAGGTAGGAGCTCTGGCTGAAGGCCTTCCCGCACTCGCCGCACACGTAGGGCTTCTCGCCCGTGTGGTTCCTCTGGTGCAGAGTGAGGGACGAGCTCTTGTTGAAGGCCTTCCCGCACTCCTTGCACGCGTAGGGCTTCTCGCCCGTGTGCGTCCTCTGGTGCTCGGTCAGGTGCATGTTCTGGCTGAAGGCGCGGCCACACACACCGCACACGTAGGGCTTCTCGCCCGTGTGCGTCCTCTGGTGCACGATGAGGTGCATGTTCTGGCTGAAGGCCTTGCCGCAGTCCCCGCACGCATAGGGCTTCTCCCCCGTGTGGATCCGCTCATGCTGCGCGAGCGACGAGGTCTTGCGGAAGGCCTTCCCGCACATGTCGCACACGTAGGGCTTCTCGCCCGTGTGCGTCCTCTGGTGCACGATCAGGTTCATGCGCTGGCTGAAGGCCTTGCCGCAGTCCCCGCATCGGTAGGGCTTCTCTCCGGTGTGAACTCTGCGGTGGATGGTGAGGGACGACCGCTCAATGAAGTGCTTCCCACAGACGTCACATTCAAAGGGCTTCTCTCCCGTGTGGATCCGCTGGTGCTTCATCAGGGATGAGCTCCGGCTGAAAGCCTTACCACAGGCACTGCAGTCGTAGGATTTCTTCTCCACGTCAAGTCTGGGCGGCTGGCTGAGGTCCGGGGCCCTCAGGAACGTCTTCCCATGCATGACCAACGGCCGGGTCCCCTCTTCCCTTGGGCCTTCCGACCGTGGTGGGACCGGGCCGGAGCCCTGGCGGGTGAATGCCTTAAATTCCCGGCACGCGGGGGTGAGCTCCTGGGAAGCCTCCGACTGCTCCAGACAGGTCCTTCTGTTTCCCAGCTGCCCCTCCACCCAGTCACCCTGTGTCCACGCTCCTTCAGAGGCCAGACCGCGGGCACCATTTCTCGGGGGTCCCTCCACGACCACCCCAATGGACGGTCTGTCTTCCGCACTGTCCTCCTTTGGACCCGACTCCTTCATTTCAGGTCTAGTCTCCAAGTCTGGGGGGAGGGGAAAGAGAAGACGAAATGCATGGAGTTAACAATGCTGGGAGTAAGGAACCTCCAAAGCCAGGGATGGATGAGTACACGAAATCAGAGACACAGCAGGGCACGGATGGAGATGCAAATGACAACCTGCTGATCCAAGGGGAAGCAATGAGCTGGTGACAAAGGTGGCTGAAGGAAGCAGAAGCAACAGGAGGGGAGCAGAGGGAACAGGAAGTGTCCCTCCGGGAGAGTGGTGAAAAGGACGGCGGCAGATGGGAGCGAGCGGGAGCGCCAAGGAGAGCCGTCTGAAGAGAGACGACAGGAGGTAAGCCGGCTTGGACGGAGCGGACCAGAGGCTCTTGCAAACCCGAGCAAGGACTTACTGCAACGGGTTCCCTACTTCCAGGGTTCATCCTGAATATCCCCCACCACTTAGGCTTCCCAAAGCACCAATTTTTGTTAGAAATGGTAAGATGACAGCCGACATCTGGGTGGCACGTGCTGGTCGTCCTCCGAGGCCAGCCAAGCTCCGTCCTCCCCTGTCCCGCCCAGTGCCCCTCACTCCCCTCCCCCGCTGCCCAGTCCCGGAGCTGCAGGTGTCCCTTCGAGCTGGTTCCACACCCTCTTGCCTCTGCACATCCGTCCCTGCCTGGTAGTCCCAGCCATGCTGCAGCTCCAATCCCCTCCTTCCTACGAGGAACCAGAAGCAGGGGTAAGGCGGCAGCGGTTCCTGCTGCCCCATTTAAACCCCGACCTAGCCCACAACCCCTGGCATCTGAGACCCCTCCCCTAAGTCACGGTGGGCCATGCCAGGGGAGTCTGGATTTCAGGATCTTCCACATGCTGACGCCTCCCAAATTTGCACCTCCAGCCCAGACCTCCTCTGGGCTCTGCTGACGAATATTCGAAAGCCCACTTGGTGTCCCTCTTGGATACTGCGAGCCTAGTACGTCTCATTCAGAACCTGTGGTTTGGGAACCCCGGCCCCTTCCAGAATCAACAATACAAAGAGAGCCTCATCAAAGAGCCTTAGCAAAGTCAGTCAGACACAGAAGGCCCAATACTGTATGACTCCAGTCCTTGTGAGGCCCCTGGAGTCATCACATTCACAGAGACGGAAAGCAGACCATGGCGCCGGGGCTGGGTGACAGGGTGGGGAGACGGTGTTTTAATGGAGACAGAACTTCGCTTTTGCGAGATGAAAAGACCTCTATGAATGGATGGTGGTGGCTGCACATCAGTGTGAGCGTACTCAATATCACTGAACTGTACACCTAAAAATGGTTAAAATGGTAAATTTTAGGTCTATCTTACCACTTTAAAAAATTAAATTAAAAAAAGACGGAGCAGTCCCCCTTGATTCACCCCTCTTCTCCCGCCATCCGGACTGCTAGCAAGTGCCACTGGATGCGCACAACAGCTTGGACTAGATCAAATCTTGCCATCACCCCTGCCAGTGATCCAGTTAGCACCCCAGATTTCCTAGCCGAAATGCAGCAAGACCGACCACCCTCACCCCTCTATGATGCATTTTCCACTCAGCAGCAAGAGGATCTTCTTAAGAGTCAGACCAAACCCTCCAGTGTCTTCCTGGTGTGCTGAGAATCAAAGCCAGTGCCTTCCCCGGCCTACAGTGTCCTCAGCACAGAGCCAGGCCCCCCTCTCCTAACCTGTCTCCCACCACCCAACCCTGCTCACCTGCTGTCAGCCAGACTTGCCCTGTGGTTCCCTTTTTCTTCCCTGACAAGCTGTCCATGCCAAGTGCTTCCTGCCTCGGGGCCTTTGCACGTGCCACCACCCCACCCCACCTTCCCAACGGTGCTCATCCTTCAGCCCTGAGCTAACATCCTCCACAGGGAGGCCTTCCCTGTCCATCCCACAGTGGAAAGGAACACCCCTCCTGCTACTCTCTTGCCTGTTTCATTGTAGGTGCTCATTATGATCTGTGGCAACTTTCGTCTGTCCCTGGATCTGTTTATTGCCAGCCTCCCTATGGAAAGGGAGCTCCGTGAGGCCACGGACCTTGTCGGGGCCCAGCTCCTGCAGCACTGCCTGGCACACAGAAGCTGTCCAATGAACATTCACTGGGCAACGTGCCTGGTGCGGCGCTAAGCCATCTGCATGGATCATTCCATGCAGCCCTGACAACAACATGCGAGTTAGGTACTCTTAAGGTTGTGCCCATTTTACAGACGAGGGAACTGAGAGTCTGAGAAGCAAGTGACAAACTCAAGGTCACAGCACATTCGAGGCAGAGCTGAGATTCTAGCAGTCTGATCCCAGAGCCATACGCCCTGATGAGTCACTGTTTTGCTGTGAGTTGCGTTCCTATCCCAGAGGAAAAGATTTGAGAAATACTGAAGGTAGGGGAATGATTGTGGCTTAGTCACCTTGGGGTATGCGTGATGCTCAGCTGTTACGGCAGATGATGGCATGGGATGTGAAGGCTGTGGGGTGGGGACGGGAAGGGGGATGGCAAATCGGGGTGGGGCCAATGGGGACTGAGAGGCGCTGGGATATCAACTGGCCGTGGC